ACACTGTGCTTACAGCCCCCATGTTTTATTGCAGTCCAACTGAAGGACAGCTACGAATCCAGCACCTTCTTCTTCTTGGTGTTTGACCTGTAAGTACCAGCTTGCCCATCACCTCAGCACCATCTCCCCAAGCCCATCCCCACTCTGCAGATGGCCACCAGCTCCAGCTTTTCATGGCCCAGACAGGGCAAAGCAGGGGGACAACCAGCTCTTACTTAAGGTAGAAACGAGCGTTGCTTGCTGCGGGCCAGCTTGTTGCAGCCTCGCCGCCAGCGGTGTTTCCCCTCTGTCAGCGGCTCAGCGCTGCTCAGGTTTCCCCGTAACCTTTGGTGGGAGCCATCACATGTCCCCATGGGTTATTTATATGCCCGGCGGGACCAGGGCGCGTGACGCCATGACTCCTGACGCCAGGGCAGCACGATGGACGTCAGCAGAGGGGTTTGGCACCGGGAGAGCCCCATCCCTGTCCCATCTGAAGCCCATCCTCTCTAAGGACAGCCTTTCTTCCTCTTGCCTGATGTTTTGCAGCAATATAGAGGCTTCGTTACCCCTTTTTATTAACAACGCGGCTTGCCATTCCGTGCAATGGGTGCCCCGGGGCTGTTAAGGGGCAGTGACCCCTGGGCGATCCTCCCCAAAGGCTCAGGGCCCGCTTGCTGCTGCAGCTCAGCTACCTGCCTCCGTTCTCCCTCCTGCACGCAGGATGAAGAGAGGGGAACTCTTTGACTACCTCACTGAGAAAGTTACCTTGAGCGAGAAGGAAACCAGGTAAGGCCAGATGCAGGTGGCTGAAAATCATGTTGCAAAAGCAAAGCATGGGTTCGAAGGACGACCTTGCAGCCGGCGCAGCACCCATGGCCAAAACAGCACCCATGGGCAAAACAGCACCCTGGGCTGTGCCCGTGTGCTGGGGGATAGGGGCTGAGCCGTGCGGTTCCTGTCCCCATCCCTGGGAACATGGTGCCCGTGGGTGTTTGTGCTAGGAGAGGTGTTGTCACCCATCCCCAGGAAGATCATGCGTGCGCTGCTGGAAGTGATCCAATACCTCCACTCCATCAACATCGTTCACCGGGACCTGAAGCCAGAGAACATCCTCCTGGATGACAACATGAACATTAAGCTGACGGACTTTGGCTTCTCCTGCCAGCTGCGTGAGAACGAGAAGCTCAAAGGTAGGACGGCGAGGCGGGGGCAATGCCAGGGTTGCTGCAGTGCTCAGGGGGAGTTGGTGGAGTCTCCCCAGCCCCACTGTCTCCTTGGGGCCAGTCTTGCTGCCACGAGTGCAAATTGGTGTCACTTGGCTTGGGGTACCCTGCGGCTTGTACACGAGCCCAGCTCTGCCTGCGCACAGCCCCCACACCTCACTCCTTGCCATGAAGAAGTTGCTGCCCATTAGGGAAACTATCTTATTTTTTTCCACTTTTTTCCCTCCGGTTGACCCTCATTACCCCATCCATTTACTGCCCAACATTAAGGCTTTTTCCCCCCACTCCTACCCTGCGAAGAGCCACATATCCAACAACGAGCATTCCCCGCGCCAGCACCCCCCTTGCTCTCTTCACTCACATTTTAGCTGTTACAATCCACCAAGAAAAGTCACTAGCGAGATGCACACCAGTTGCAGTTACTCCCTGCGAGCGCCATCGCTGCAGAGATCCCATCTGGGATCCAGACCCCCCCTCCATCCACTGCTCGGGAGCGGGTGGGCATGGCACAAACCCTCCCGAGTGGCTCCGGGGGATGCTCTGCCCTGTCTTTGCAGAGATTTGTGGCACGCCTGGCTACCTGGCCCCCGAGATCCTGCAGTGCTCCATGGACGACGAGCACCAAGGCTACGGGAAGGAGGTCGATATGTGAGTGAGACGCTCGCCTTCCCCCTCCGGCTGCTCGCAAAATGCGCGTGCTTTGAGGCATGGCAAGAGTTGTGCAGATGGGAACCAATTTGAGTGTTTGGAAGGAATTCAATAATGCACCAAAAAAATGCCCTGGGGGGCTGTGAGGGGCTGTCCTGGGGGGGCAGGGGGCTCTTGCACAGAGCCGGGGGAGAAGCAGCCTGGGGATGAGCCCATCTCCCCGCTTTGCCACCTCAGGGAGGAAGGAAAGCAACACCTTCTGCTCATAAAAATCAACTCAGGGACTGGAATCCAAGACACGGGGCTTTTTAAACACACCCCATAGCGAGACACATGCCTCAGGCAGCCGCCGAGGGAGCAGCTAGCTGAGGAAAGCCCAGCCCAAGCCCTGTGGGGACTTTGCCCACCATCTCTGGTGAGCTGGGGCTCAGGTCTGCAGTGGTCAGAGCTATGACCAAACACCTGAGACACACCAGGGCATTTCAGCCCCTTTTCAGTTTAAATACCTCCATTAGGCCCCACACCAGGTCACTTTGCACACCACAGGCTGAACTGGGACAGCCCTAGAGCATCCAGCCTCGCTGGCACCACCACGTCTCACCCTCCCGCATCCTTTCCCTCATCTAAAAAACACAAGAAAACCAAACACCTCCAACTCACAGCTTCCTCCTGTGGCATCCAGGAGAGCAGCTCCACGTCAGCTCTGCTCAAAACCCCCAAACCCCTCCCCAGCAGCAGAGCAGCCCCTGCTCCTTCTCACCCAGTGGGGCTAACGAGCCCCAGCAGCGAGCTCAGCCTCATCAGACACCACGCAGGGCAGCGTCCTCCTGGTTTTCCAGGGTGGCAAAGCCCAGCGTGCCCCAGCTGGGGGAGGCACCGAGCCACCCTTGGGGCGCACATCCATCCGGGTGCCCCCCGGGTGCTGCCTGGAGCTGGAGGGTCCGTCCGGGCTGCCCGCAGGTGGAGCACCGGGGTGATCATGTACACCTTGCTGGCCGGCTCGCCTCCCTTCTGGCACCGCAAGCAGATGCTGATGCTGCGGATGATCATGAACGGGGACTACCAGTTTGGCTCTCCGGAGTGGGACGACCGCTCGGACACTGTGAAGGACCTGGTAGGTGTTCAGGGATGGGAGGACCTGGTGGGGAGGTTTGCAGACATCTGGGATACCCCAGGTCGATCCGGTGCCCCCCTGCAGATCTCCCGGTTCCTGGTGGTGGACCCGCGGCAGCGGTACACGGCTGGCGAGGCGCTGGCCCACCCCTTCTTCCAGCAGTACGACGTGGAGGAGGTCCGGCACTTCAGCCCCTTCCGGAGGTTCAAGGTGAGGTTGCGGATGGGGGTGTCTCAGGACCCCGACCCTGAGCTCAGGCGCTGCAGGAGCTGAGCGGTGGGATGGGTTTCCCAGCTGAGCTGCGAGAAACTGGGACTTCAAGGTTGATGGACCTGGGCTTTGGCAGGATGCATCAGCCTGGGTGGAGACCCTTCTCCAAGCACTATTTCGCTTACCTTCTAGTACATCCTAAAGGCTTTTTCATAGAAGAGGATTAAATAAGAAAAGGGAAAAGCCTGCTTCCCCCACAAATCATTAAAAAAAAAATCACTTCTAAGGGGAAATCGATGAGCCCGACATCACATGGGTGCATCAAATGATGCAAACATTGATAAAACAGGAATCCTTTCCCTTCCATGTAGCCAGCCATTAGGACAGCTCAAAGATACCCGAAGTGGCATTAGGTTTAGGACCGACCCGCGGTTTGGATGTTACGGCCACACTTGGAAAAAGCCTGTACCACTCACACGGGGTTAAATACCTGTGCCAGGAGCCGGGCACACAGATAGCAGCCGCGCGGGATGCGTTGGGGCCGAGCCGGTCCCGTTGTAGGACTGGCCATGAATTCCAGCCCGTTCCCCCCGTGCTGCAGGTGATCTGCCTGACCGTCCTGGCATCGGTCCGTATTTACTACCAGTACCGGCTGGTCAAGTCGGTCACCAGGGAGCTGGTGGTGCGCGACCCGTACGCCCTGAAGCCCGTCCGCAAGCTGATCGACGCCTGCGCCTTCAGGACCTACCGGCACTGGGTGAAGAAAGGGGAGGCGCAGAACAGAGCCGCTCTCTTCGAGAACACCTGCAAGGCCATTTTGCTGACCCTGGCAGCCGAGGAAGGGCTGTTTTGAGCGCCGCTGCGTAAGCCGATGAGGTTGCTCAGCGTCAAGGCGAGTAAAATCTTTGAAAACCAACTGGTGATTTCGTTTACTTTTTCTTAGAGTTATGGCTGCCCTTGGGTCAGGTGCAAATGCAAACCCAGCAGATGGCTGCAGTTTGCCCCTGGGGTATGCCCTGGCCTAAGGGATGGGTTTGGAGAAGCTGCCTCTGATGGAGCTGTAACCAGCTGCAGCTCCCGCTGTGCTCGGAGCAGTGGATCTGCTTGGGGAAGGCTCAGCTCAGCCCTGGAGTGGGACCCTTTCGGGGCAGTCGCAGGTGGAGGAGGGATGAGCGGTGCCCGGAGGGGTGTCCTCACCCCACTGTGTGCTCAGGGCTTTCGTGGCAGAGCTCGTGCACAGCCGGTTTGTAGCCCTTATGATGCCTGTAACACCAGTAGGTCACTGGTTTGTGTCACCTGTGCACTTAGAAACCAACACGTGTGTGGTTTTGCCACTGTTTATGGATCAATAAAGGCGCCTTGTTTGACTTCTGGGAAGGCTTGGGGGCTGGTACGAAGCTGGGACTTCCCAAGGGGATGCGGACGGATGCAGGAGTCCCCCTTTCCAGGGACGTGCCCCCATCACTCCCCCGCTGCAGCCGCCCCGCATGGCAGCCCCGTGCTGGCGGTCGCGGCAGGGCTGTGGGTGTTTGCTCGCTCCAGCTGGGGCTGGAGGTCAGAGCAGCTCTGCCCCAGACCCACATACACGCACCCCTCTGCTTATTTAAAACGGACACCAGAAGGAGAGCTGTAACATCTACTACACCAAGAGGTCACTAAAGAATGGCGGGCAAATAACTGCTCGTGCCCAGATGTCCCAGTGTGGAAAGGAGTTTTAGCTGAAAGTATTTAATTTTTAAAACTGTCCTGATGAAAGTGGCTGCTGGGGGTTACTGTTCGTCTCCACAGGAGAAAATGCCTTCAGGTCTTCCCGAGCGACTTCCTCAGAGCTCAGGTTTGGTCCGGCTTTTCTCGGCTGTGACGGGCGGGACATCAGCAGCGCAGCGGAAGCTGAGGTTGTCGGAGGCCGAGTCTGGCGTGTTCCCCATTCTCATGGGGAAAGAGAGACACAAAGTTAGTTAGGAATCCTTCCCAGTTAACACTTACATCCTTCAATGGGATTCTCTGTAACAGACTAGAAACAGCTTCCACCTCCCTTGAATAACTTCAAGAAAAGCATTTAATTCTAAATGCTTGATGGAAAATACATATGATTTGAGAAGTAATTAGGAACATATTTTTTAGTGGTATTTGTAGTATGTTTTCCTAACTGCTTCTCAGAAAAATTGAGCAGGAACAAACAAAAGTTTTTTAAAATAAAACCCCCTTCCAAATAAAACCAAGCCAGAAGAAATCACTGCGAAACAAGCGCCTGGGCATTGCCCAGACCTACCTGGTAGTAACATGAGCTTTATGATTTGCAGACCCATCTGCAGTGTCAATCCACGAGGCACCTCTCAGGACCCGCATGCTCTGCCTCGATGAGAGCCCCGGAGTCAGGTAGTCCGACGCGGTCCACTCCCAGGTGTTTCCCAGCAGGTCGTAGAGCCCTGAGACACGGATGGTTTTGCATCAGGATTATGAGAGCGCATTTGCAAGGGCTGCAAAAGGACTTTGGTGTATGGGAGGGGAGGCGCAACATTCAAAGCATCACTGCAAGACCATGGTTTAATGGTGAGACTGGGAAGCAGAAGCTCTTTACTCTATTGCAAACTGGCCCCTGTTTACAACTCAACCTTCGACAACTCTCTCCTTTAAACGTCTCATTGTTTCCCACCTGCGTGAGGGCATGGCACCCGCTGCCCTCAAAACACATTTATGATTTTCAGGTAAATCACACAGAAGTGCAAAATGACTGGCTGCTAATTAAAAGCAGGGGACGGTTTGGTGCATTGAAGCGCATCAGGTGCACGTCAGCCAACTTCAGTAACAACCATCAGTGCTTTTGCTGGGCTCGGTTATTCTATCAAGATGTTGACATGATCCTGTGTAATACCTGAAACCTTGCTACAATTACAGGATTTTATAATTAGTGTTGAATGGATATTAGGAAGCAGATGGCATCCCCAAAACCAGGGTGGGGATGTCTGCTCTGTACCAAAGTTGTTCTGAGGAGGGAACGCTGTCACTGGCGAGACGCCGTGATAACCGTCTTCAGCGGTGTCAACCCTTGGGAAGTCACCCTGTGGGAAGAAAGATCACTCTGAGCAAAGACCCACCGTGGATGCCGCATGAAGTCCTGCCCTTCACAGGACTGTGTTACACTTAAATAACGAAAACAACTCTCGGTTGCAAATGTACGCAGCATTTCTGGCTGAGAGAGGAAATCAACCATCTAAAGTTCTCCCAAGACAACCCCCTTTCAAACAAGCTTATGGATGAATTTTTGGTTATGTATACATTTTGGGAAGCACTGAAATCCTGGTTTCCCAGGGAAGCTGGGCTGAGTTTGCTCCCTCTGTTTCAGAGGTATTTCAGCTAACCCACCAGGAGCTGAATTTTGGTACCTTGCAGGTAAGTCTGCATTGCTTCCTGGGACCACGCAGCCTGCTCAGGCAGCCACGCACACTCTGGGGTAGAGTTAACCACCATCAGAAGAGTTCAGCATAGATGGGATGATTTTTAGGATCTTACCTGCCACAGATTTGTACGGTTTGGCTGAAACTTGTTTCCCCAGGGATACACCCTTTCTGCCAAGGAAGAAGAGACACCCATCACCCCTGTGTCACTCCAGCCTCTGCGTTTGCCTATTTTTAACCAGGCTTTTATGACTGTCCTTTTCTGCTCAGCTCAGGACACCGAGAGGGGTTACACGAACGGGGCTACAGATACTGCCAAGGAGGCGAGGAGAACGGGAGTCAGCAGCAGCTTCCCGTTTTCACACCATCGCTCGTGCCAGGGAGTCTCGCGCTCCCCACAGCAATCCCAGCAGCTGCTTTATGCCACCATCAATGTGCAGGGGATGGTGGGTTGCTCCTTGCCCAAAACCCATGAAAAGGTATTTTTAGCTGGCAGAAGTGTTTTGTTTAAAAAGATACAGTAAGAACATAGATAAGCCACTTCTTCCTACATCATCATCATTATTTATTATTATTATTATTATTAATTCAACTGCCAGGCCAAAAGAGGTAGTTCAGCCCCCCACATTAACCTCTGAAAACATCCCTGGATGGAGATTTAGATCCGGTAGAACTAACGTTACTTGATGCCTCCATTTGGAAAAAGGTCAGAGCTTGTGGTACGTACGCTCCAGTCCTCCCCTGGCAGCAAATTCCCACTCCTCCTCCGCCGGGAGCCTCTTCCCTTTCCATGCGCAGAACGCCTGTGCGTCGTTCCAGCTCACGTGCAGCACTGGGTAATCCAACCTGTCCTTTATGCTGGAGCCAGGACCCGAGGGCTGGAAGGAATTGCATCGAACAGATTTTAATTGCTTTTATAAACTTTTCAACTAAAAAGGTAATAAAGGTCAGAACAGACCAAGGCAAGGAACGTGCAGCAACCAGAGATGCTATTTTTTTCCCCCATTTTCAGCTGACAAGGTTCAGCACACACCAACACGTGCATGCTCCCAGCACAGAGAGGACTCACCGCACCAGGTTTTCACTCACCTGTCGCCAAAAAGCCTTCTCGATGGGCAGCCACCATGGGGCAGACTGGGAAAAGAAACAACACCAGATTAAAGCTGAAGCAGCAATCCTCTGCTCGACAGGATCCTACAGCAACGAGTGTAAAGAAGAGCACTTGTTAGTCTGGAAATGGTTAAACGCTGCAGCTTGAGCTGGGTTATCATGAGCGTTTTCATAGTGCTTTCCGACAGAGTAGAGGTATTTGCTTTTAAAAGTGAAAACGGATCAAGAAGCCCATGCTGTTTAGTTTTTCTATTTTAAGGTTTGATTAATAAAGTACTTTGAAATGGGCTTTGCTCTCTCCCAGCTCACTGGAGCATCTCATGAATCTTGTCTGACAGTGTTTGGAGAGGATGTAAACAGAGAAGGGCCATAAATCAACCCAGGCTCAACCCTGCTGTTAGTTTCAAAAGCAAAACAACCCGAGTAAAGAAAAATCAGTGAGAAGGGCCAAGCTCTACACTGAAAGTAGCTGCTACTCAGCAGAGAAGCAATACTGACGAGGGTCTCCCTTCCTGCATTTTTTTTTTTACTTAAAACAGAGAGCTCAGACACGGATGTGATCAGAAATACCACCTCCAGCATCATTACTGAAACTCAGCCCCATGGGATTTACATTTACCTCCAGTTTTTGGGTGACTTTTTTTTTCAGCTCTTCGGTTACGAAATCCTCAAAGACAAAGCTCCAGCCAAACGCTTCTGCTTCTGTTTTGTATTTCTTTTCTCTAACAAACTCCCTGGCATAAATACAACACGCTCAGGCATCTGGATAAGAGTTCTTCAAGAGTTGCATCACCAAATACAGCGATCTGCACACGCAACAAGTTCTCAGCAAGGCAAAACGTACACCACCTACAGACACCCATCTGTGCAGTCCCAGCTCCTCCCCAGCACAGTTCCAGTCGGTTTGATACGGATTTAAGAGATAAAAGAGTCCAATTTGCATCTGTTCACAGATCTGATAGTTTTCATGTTACCTTATGCAGGTAAACTCATCCTGCAGCCTGGCCTTCCGTAAAACGTAACAAGTGCACAGCTCAAAAATCCCTTAAAGCCACTAAAACCCACAACTGCTGTTAGGTAAATGTCCCCAAAATGCAGAAAAGTGTCACATACTGCTGCATAATCTCACCCTGCTTCTGTCCCGTTTGTCTCCCCATTGCCCGAGCTGCAGTAATTGCCATTACTGTGTGTTGCTGGGCAGGTACTGGTGCGTGGAAGCGTTGGCTCTTTTTAACCAAGGGCTCAGCCAGGCAAATAAAGGCGTTTCCCCCAGTGCGTTTGTTAGTGCTCTGGACAAGGGCTTCTATAAAATGCATGGTATAAGATCAGCAAGTGGTCTGCTGTTAACAAATGGAAATCAAATGTATAGGAACCTGAAATCTGAAAGAGTACAGCCCTATTAGTAAGAAAAAGGCACACACACAGAAGCATGCTTGCAAGGAAAAAAGAAAAAAAAGGAGAAAAGGAGGGGGAAAAAGGAGGAAAAATAAAAAAAAGTAAGCATATTTGCAGGCTCCGTTGGTAAGATGCTTCAGCCCGCTCCCGTAGAGGGGATTTATTACTGACAGAGACATTTCTTTGTTCCAATGAAACTGCTGGGAGCGCCCCAGAATTGCCTTTCAGACCCAACCTGCCCCAAAAGATGCGGCACCAACGCCCGCACCATGCCCGCGGCTGCCCGAGCAGACCCAAACCTTCGCTCCTACCTGAAATCCCTGTTCGTGACGGGGTATTTGTCGATAGCAAACGGCTTCACCCTCACCTCCCTGACGGGCCCCCCTTCATTCCTCTTCTCCAGGGAACTGGATCCCATCCGAAACTTCCCCCCAGGCAGCTGCACCATGCTTTCATCCTTTCCGAATGCTGAAAATGAAGAAATTCAGTGTGACAACTTTAATTTTTAAACATGACCACGCAGAACAGCATGCATTATTTGCCAAAAAGTCACTTTAGGCACTAGATATACGGCACAATAGAGTAAATTGCTAGAATTCACGTTTGTCTAGGTCTGCGGTTTTTTGGCAACAAGCTTAAATTATTTTCAAGTCACAAGTTCAGCGTCTCTCTGGGGAAGGGAACGCTCCTCTCGGGCGAAAGCAGCAAGGCAGCCCCTTTAAACGAAGGGTTTGCTGCCCTTAGGAGAAAGGGAATCTATGCAGGGAGAAGCGAGGTGATTTTTATGGCTTCCCTGCAACACGCCAAGGCAGAAGGGCC